AAATAAGTGTTTGTTTTAATAAGATTTATAATGTCTAAATCTAAAGGTTTTTTAAATAATTCGAATTTTATCAAAATCTAATATTATTTTCATGTCTCAATTACTTTAGAATTATTTAAGTTATGTAAACATAATCCCGTATAAACTTACCATTTTATACAGGGTGTCCACAAATTTAAACTAATCAAATAAGAACTTTAGGTGGCTATAACTTGATTAATTTAAATACAACCCCATATTTTTTAGCTTACCAGGAAATACAATTTTTAGTTACCTATCGAATGGTACAAGGATGTTTATAAGGATGTTTATAACTAAGTTTTTGCTTTTTTACAAAATACACCAAATAATGGTTCTGTACACCATTTGGTGTATTTTTGAAATTAAAAGGTTAAATAACATATCAACAATAACATAAAGCAAAGGCAAATTATTTATAACAAATATTCGAAATGTTCACCGTCCATTTCCAGGCACGTAAATTCTTTTTTCAAAACCACTGCTAACTCTGGACAACATTTGCGGAGTTACAGTTTTAAATGCGTCTCTTATGCGTGTTATGCGCCAATTTTGAAACCCATTTCTGCCAATCCACCTGTTTTGAAAGTTGGCATTTAAAAATTGCCGAACTTCGCAGTGATAATGAGGCGGAGCTCCATCCAATTGAAGCCACATGTTGATTCTAATATTGAAAGGGACTTCTTCTAATAATATTGAGAGATGGTTTATTAGAAACTGGAGAAACATCAAACCATTTAGATGTCCTTCAAAAAAATAGGGTCCAATTAAATATTGACCCAGTATTCCACCCCACTCATTAACTGACCACCTATTTTGATTTTTTATGACCCCGTATGCGCGCGGATTCGTATCAGAATAATAATGAGAGTTGTGTCTATTCACGAGACCATTGTTATGAAAAGTACATCCATCACTAAATAACACATTTTCGAAGAAATTTTCAATTTCTGCCACTCTATCTAACACCCACATGCAAAACTCAGTTCGGTTTTCAAAATAATTTCCATAAAGTTCTTGGCAAAGCTGAATTTTATAAGGATAAAAGTTGTGCTTTTTGA